CAGTCATTTCCGAACCCAACTGGCACCTAGGACACAAGTATGTACATGTATCTTACTAATGAGATGAATCTAGTATAATCATGCATAATCTTTGAAAAGTTGTCATATATTACAATTAAACAATGAAAGGAAAATCGGGATCGCTATAAAACAACTCTCAAAATAAATATATAAAAAAAAAAACCAAGAAATGAGGAAGGTTGCAGAGGTGATTATGTATGAGCACAAGTATGACAAGCCTGAAATAAATGCTATCAACTCAAATAGGTTGGCGGCTAAGGCCTAAACCACCAAAACCTATGAGGACAATTACACTACAAACATGCTATACAAAAGCACAAACCAAATGAACAACCTAAAACAGTCCTAATATAGCTAAAAGTAGTGCTGGAAATAACATGGAAAAGCTTTAAAAAGTTAGCTAAAATAATGGAGAAATTGAGCTAGTAAACAAGCATAAGGAGGGGTGGCTAACCCCTCCATTTTTGGGACCTTAAAACAACATTTTTAGCCTTTGAAAATCTCTAAAAATCAGTAGTAACAAGTTGAGAAAAATATAGGCAACACAAGGGCAAAAGCTTGAGAAATAAGGTTCAAGAAGGGTGATTAACCCCTCTACCTTTAATAGCTTTAAGCCACAAGTTTTAGCCATAAAAAACAGTTGAAAAGCAGTCTAAAAACAGCAAATAAAGATAGGAAAGAAGTGGTGTAAAGAGCTAGGAGTTATACCTCTTGAAGAGAAGTAACACTTTGAGTTTCAAACCAACAAATTCCCACCCTCAAGAGCTGAAATTCAAGCTCAATAACCTCAGCAAAGAGCCCTAAAAATTTGGTTTAGGGAGCCTAGGTAAGGTGTATATAGGTTGCAAGGTAGAGAGAGAGGAATATTTTTCAAGAATTTTGCTTCACAAAATTTTTCTAACCTAAATTCTAGAGGGGTGGTCAAGTATATATAGAAAAATATGTTACTATCTCGGAAATATTAGTATATAGACAGCTGGTGCAGTGCATGCACCTGTGGGGACAACTAGTATAGATGGCAGCAAAAATATCTATTCTACCGGAACAACTAGTCGGTCGGCCACTAGGGAGATGGCCGACCACTCATTTCTGGCCAGCCAGCCACTAATTGGTCTACAAGCCTCTGAGTGGTCAGGCTTGGAAAAATATTGTTTTGGTCCAAAAGTGATGCAAGGTTTGTAGTCTTCTGAGACTCAAAACTGGGGTTTTCTGTTGAGGAAATCGAGCGTTTGTCCAACGTACAAATTCATCATTGGGTGAGCAATCGAAGGTGTCCAAGTCATAAGGGCTGTCAAAAATGGGGTGTCTACACTCCCTCGCATATCTTGCAACCTCCAAAGCTTCATAGTGTACTTGGTTAAATATGCTAATCGAATTAAATGCACCAGCAAACAATGAAGAAAAGCTTTAAGGTCCGTTCATCATGCAATTCCATTAATCTCCAAGCCCATTGTAGCACATCAAAAATTGGCTTCACTTGAAGCACAAACAATAGTGGACATGTATTCCATACAAGAGCAGCAAAATCACAATTATGAAAGCAGTGGGCAGTCATTTCCGAACCCAACTGGCACCTAGGACACAAGTCGACCTCCACAACTTGAGAGATTGGACCTGACTAGCAAAATATTGAGGCACAGTTTCCACACAAAATTCTTGATCTTGTTAGGTAGATGAAGCTTCCAAAATCGAGGCCAAAACCACTTTTTACTCAACCCACCATCAAAAGATTCCGAGTGAGAAGCTAAGTATATGGCAAGATGATATGCCAATCAAACAGTGAAGAACCCATGATTGGTAAAATGCCATGCTATCACATTTGGGGGTAAACTAGGGCAGAGAAAGATAACTATAATAACTTCAGCATCCAATAGGGAAAATGTAGCACAAATGAGGTCTGCATGCCACCCTCCCTCCCCTCTTGATCACTATCAATTAGATTGCTAACCTTCAAAGTTATAAATAGTTTATAAAATTTACTATACAAAAAAGTTAGTTTCACTGGTTTATTTATTTATTTATTTTTCTTCCTCTTTCTCCAACCTTTTTTTGCCACCACGCATTACTTATCACTGTAGGTTACAATTCCTGATTACCTCATTTGCAAATCACCTCCAGACACAACCTCCTTCGACTAACCACTTATCACTGACACCAACCATCTCCCACTAGCAATACCCATACCTTTTGTTGAAAACCAACTTAGGCAGACGACCGACCACCATCTTCAATCATCAACAATCACTTTCGGCTATCACTTCATGTGGCTAGCAACCACCTCTAACACCATCTCTTGAGGTCGATGACCACCTTTGACCACCTTTCTCCAACCATTGATCATTTTTTTAAAATAATAATAATAATAATAATAATAATAATAATAATAATAATAATAATAATAATAATAATAATTAACATAGTTGTGTATCAAATAAAATATGTTATTATTTTCATTTTTATAAAAAATATACATAAATATATTTTGTATTTTTTTTAAATTAAAAATAGTAAATTGTGAATGTTGTCAAACATCACCTTAATGTACCAATTTTACCCTCTTCAATGTCAAAGAAGATCTTGAAGCTAGTTGAAAACTATTCCTTTTTTCGAAGGAGGGTGCATAATAAGATTTTGTTGAGGAGACCAGGGCAACTGCACCAAGGAAAAAAAAGAAAACAAAAAGTAAATTACATTTTTTAACTCCTAGTTTGATTTAAATTTTACTTGGGATTTTTATTTATAAATCCTATTGTGGGAACTTGTTTGTTGTGAGATCTTGTGGAATTTCTTATAGACTCAGAAGTCCTATTTAAATAGGAATGTATTCTATGGGATCCTATTAGGTGTAAATCAGTGGTAGTAGTGGACTATTGTACCCCTAGTTTGTTTCCATTTTCTACGTTAGATTGTGTGCCTATACATATTTTAAGATTTGTGGTTGTCACATTTTAATACGAATAAAGTCTAATGTTCTGCTTCCAAAGTGTCCATACAGGTGTGACATTGGGTAAACATCTAGTCACCAATATATGTGTTTTCAATATTCCGCTTGCACAATGTTTCTATACGGGTGTTGTAACATCTTGAATTCTGCAAGTTCGCTAGAGCGGTGGAGTTTATCGCTTGAGCGGTGAATTGAGGTTGTTAGTATTCCTGTTCGCAATTAAGTGTTGAGGGAGACCGCTTAAGTGATCTATTTATTACTCGAGCGGAGATGCATAGCAACCAGTACTTTTCATTTTAGACTTGCAATCTTCTGGAAGATCAAGTTTACTGCTCGAGCGGTCTGTTCGGAGTAGCCAACTTAAAAATCGACTTTAACTCATTTCTTTTCCATTTTTTCATCTTCTCTCTCTCTCTCTCTCTCTCTCTCTTTCTCTCTCTCTTTTATCACCCATTTCTGAAACCCTAGTCCCAAAAATATTTGATTTCTCTTATTTCTAATAAAGATTCATCTTAGATCTTTTAAGAAAAGTGAAGAGATTGGATTAAATGACTAAAGCTTGATGAAGAAGATGCTTCACTTTGAAGAGACCAAATGAAATTTTGAAAATTAGAATCCGCTTTAATAATCTGATTAGTGCGTCATCAATTAATGGAATTTTTTTTTTTTTTATGAAATTTATTGAGTTAGAATTATCTCAAGTTTACATTTCAATTTGAGAGAATTTTAGGGATACATGCAACCTACCACAGATACCATTTTGATAATTTAAATTATTCATTTTGTATGATCCTTATTGTATATCATTCACGCAAAAATTTAGAATCATAACATTTTTTTTTATTTTATTGTATTTATCTCTAAAAATATAGGCGATAAATATATTTTTGAAAATAGAGTATTCATTTTTTGGAAAAGAAATATGATAGAATAAAAATATTACAATTATTGAATTAATGCAAATTTTTTCATGAATAATATATACGAAGAACTCTATAAAATGAACTATTGGAATTATCAAAACAAGACTCATAATAACCCCATGATCCCTCAAATTCACTAAAATTAAGATGCAAAAATGGATTTATTAATGTGTAATATTAATGTTAGGATAAAAAACAATTTTAATCCCTAAATTATGCATTATTTTTTATTTTGGTCCCTTAAGTTTCAATTTTAATATTTTGGTACTCAAAATTGTCAATTTGAATAAATTTGGTCTTGAAGTTTAATGTCTATCTATATTGGTAACATGAATATGGATAAATTACAGTTTTGGTTATTAAAATATGCATTTATTATCATTTAGTCCCTCAAGTTTTAAATGTTGTCATTTTGGCCTTTAAAATTGTCAATTTAAGACAATTTAGTCCTAACTTAAATTGATAATTTTGAGAACTAACAATGAAAAAATTTAAAAATTTGAGGGATTAAAATGACAAAAAATACATATTTTAAGAACAAAAACTATCTTTTATCTAAAGATAAAATATATTTATGTTATCAATATAAACGGAAGTTAGAGATATAGCTAAATTGATAACATTAAAAATCAAAATAGTAAAATTAAAACTTGATAGACTAAGGCCAAGTTTGGCAACACCAAAATAATTCACCTTTTTATCTTTTTTCTATCACATCACCTTTCTACTTTTCTGCACATCTTTTCGTAAAAAGATAAAAAATACACTTATTTAGGTGATCCCAAACAATCCCTAAAATAAAAATCAAAATAGTAAAATTAAAACTTGATAGACTAATCCTTAAGCCAAGTTTGGCATATCTGAAAAAAGATAAAAAGTCAAAAAGTCACTATCCTATTTAAGTCACATCATCTTATTTAAGTGACATCACCTCTCTACCGCATCACTTCAAACACAATCCATATTTCATAAAAAATCAAAAAATACATTTATTTAGAACATTCCAAACAATATTACAAATATCCGCGAGGTTATTTAAAAATAAATAAATAAATAATAAAATTGTAAAGTTTTATGTCATTTTCTTTTCCCAATGAATTTCAGGTAATTGGATTCCTTATCCCAGTTTCTTTCAGCTGCCCCTACCTGGTTTATCCTTCCCTGGTCTTCTTCCTCAACTTCATCCAATTTCAAACCCTAGTCTCTCTCTCTCTCTCTTCTCAGATTTTCAACAGATGCGAACCTTGCCTATTGATTTCGTATAGCTATGGCGTTGTCTAAAGAAATGGCTTGAATCGGAGTTTCTTCACTTTGATCTCTTCATATTCTCATTCCGTTCAAGGTAATTTATCTGCTGCACTAACATTTGTGCTTCGCTAATTTTCAAGTTTATAGTCTTGACCATCGATTTCGAGCTAGTTTGTTTGGTTGATCTGGAAACTTACCTGAACTCTGATTTTTCTTATGCATGGTTTTGTTTAATTGAAATTTGTTCGAGATTTTTAGCTGATTTATGTTTATTAAATGCTTAACGTCTGAACGTATGTATGAATGTATGTATGCATATTGGATTTGAATTGAAATCTGCTATGTTTAGCTGATGAGAAAATGTGGGGAAATTGAGGGGAACTTGTTTTAGATCTTGGATTATTGTAATTGAGATTTTTGAGAACCGGAATGTATATGGATTCTTGTTCATGAGCCGTTTGCTTACGGAGAAAGTGTGAGGACAGAGGTTAGGTTCTTCATAATTATTGATTTGAGCAATTGGGAATCTGTATTTACTGTCTGTTAGCTTCTTGAGAAAATGTAGGGATAAAAAAAAAAATATAGAAAATTGAAGAATGTGGATTTTATATATATATATATATGTATATATTTTTAAATTTCTGTAGAGAATATGTGAGCCTACTAAACAATTGACTTACTTGCATTTAAGTTGAAGTTTTAGATTCACAGTGGTAGATTCAGCTTGTGTGACTTTGAGCCTGACAATAAACTATTGACAATTAAAAAGCTATAGGTCTAAAAAAAAAGGGTAATACTACAATACACACCTCTCAAAAAGGGTGTACCATATGCAAGTTATGACATTTTGTGGTGTTGATATCATGAAGTGTTATAACCAAATCACTATTTGTCATAACTTAAATGCATCATAACACAACACCTTTGAGGCATAACCAAAGACCTCTTTGATCATAATTAAAATTACAATCACAATAGGTTATAATTGAGTCATAACCTATGTTACCTAGAAGTAGATTGTTCCGGTACAGGGAACGGAAATGGGAACATGGTACACCGCATGTTTTAAAATGTGGTACGATACTGGTAGACTTGTGTATATTATACTTGCAAATTTAAGGTACTTTTAAAGTAATTTTCTTTTAACTATTAAGCATCTAATAAAATTTAGTTTTTCTTCTTCATGTAGCAAAACATTTTTATGAGTACTATGACCCATTTTTTATGTTTTGTTTTGTCAAAACTTAACTTATTTTAGATTTTAATTCATTATATTTTATTTTTTCCTCCTAAGGAAACATTTAAGGAAATTTATTGAAAAACCTTTTGGGATTGTTTCAGATCGCTAAATTTACCGTTTTGGAACGCAAGTGTATCATATTTTGGAACGTGTGTATCAATACATAACTCGCTAAGGTATTAGCGTTTTCTAGTAACATAAGTTATAACTAACATCACAATGTGTCATAACGGTTTATAACCAAATACTACTTGAGGCATAACCAAAGACCACTTTGGTCGTAACCAAAATAACATACACAAGAGGTCATAGTTAAGTTATAACCAACACCACAATAAATCATAACTAACACTACAAAGAACACAAAGGTCATAATTGGAGGCATATGGTATATACTCTTTTTACGGTGTGTATTATGGAATTTCCCTCTAAAAAAATCACAAGTCCCAAATTAAGAAGCAAAATTCTTAAGAAATTATAGAAATAAAAGATGCTTGTAATGATTAGATTTATGTTTTATGGCAATAATGATATAGAATTAATTCCAGATAAAAGACAGCTGCTATAGAATGCTCACTGTAAAACCAATGACAAAAGAGTTTTTATTGCTAATATGAATGAAATCTCATCCATATAGCAAAGTCTCCATTAAACCAAAAGCCCAATCAACAAAATCAATCAAAATCCACATAAACATTTACAAGGGACTTCAATCTAGATTAATTAATGGAGAAGAGGAAAGAGAGAGGGAAAAAAAAAAAAAAAACACCACCTCAATTTGATTTCCTCGTTTTTCCTAATTTTGTAAGCCCTAAATCTGAAGCACAATCCTAAAGAGACAAAAAGAGGGTTCCAAGATTGTAGTGTTCCAATGTAGCTTCAAGTGCTCTGCAGAAACATGGAGGCTAGTTTGGCAAAGATGCGACGACGATCTCCGGTTAAAAGAATAGGCAGTTTGGCCGAGGCTTAAGAGAGAGAATGAAAGTAACAAAAGAATGAAATTGTGGCTGACTATCAGCAGTAAAGAGCATATATCCAATGGTACAAGCTAAACTGCATATATCCAATGTTAAAAAACAAAAAATAAAAACAAAAAACAAAAAGAAAAAAATAGAAGTTATTTTTACCTACTATTTTGGCACAATCAAGTACCAAATCCAACTAATTTTCAACTATTGAAGTGATAGATGTAGTGAATTAAATTCATTACTCATAAAAGATGTAATAAATGATATTCCTATAGAGTTGTAGGTCTTGATATGATAAATTGTGAATAATTAACTTATGTAATTATAATTGTAACTTTTAATATTATTGAATTTTTGTAATTTCGTAAATTTTCTATATTTTAAAATTTTGGGTAGTCTTAATTTATGTAAATTGTGAAAAAACAATTCAGTTTTGATAAATTAGTAGATTTGTTGCATACGTGATTTTGTCCTGAATTTGGGTTCTTCCATGCACCGTGCTTTTACACTGTCGCTCGAAGAGAGATGGCTGTGAGACCCCCTCAAGTTTTGTAATTTGAAGGAGGTTAGGGTTGGCAGCTCAATTCAATCTTTGACATCCTTTGTTGCATTTGGCACCAGGTGATTCAACTTGGCCACTAAAGAAAGCGAAGGCTGGGCTAGAGGCTTGGTCAACTTACTGCTTACTACCATGGCATAGAAAGGGGAAGGGCTTTTTCAGCAGGCTAATAAATGAATGTGAATAGCACCATGAGAAAAGAATCCGAAACGTAGAAGAAGAAAGAAAGGAAAATAAAATAGAAGTTACTAATTTGAAATCCAATAATGAAAGATTTCATTGCAATGCGAGAAAAGCCCTATATAATTGGATAGGGGTGGGGCATATTTGACTAGGAAGCAAGCAAAGCTAGTCCCTTACGGGAATTGAACCCGTGTCTTAGACATGAAAAGACGATGTTCTAACCAATGGGCTTGTTCTAGCATGAGACAGAACTAGACAGAACTAGTCTCAAAAAGTTAGGGGAATCTTTTAGATCATTAACATATCTGCTTGGGGAGCATAGGCATGACAGCGGAACCAAATGTTGAGGTTTCAAAGCAAAGGTGGGCTTTGGGCGGGCATATTTATCTGATCAAAGGCGGGGGCACAAGGGTCCTGGTACTATCCAAACCTATTTATGAGTTCTTGTCTTGCTCTCGCCAACCCCTGGTCGCTAATGTTGTCATTTCCTATGACAAAGCAGTATGGTACATGCTATGAAGCACGGGTACCTAAAAAATGTTACCATACTCATATCGGGTACTTACCGGGTACTAGTACTCGTACCGATGGGATGTATGCTTTCCGGATACTTGAAATACGTACCGGGTACTTCTTGTATATTCTTTGACAGTTGGGTACTCCGTGGGGACTTCATGGGTACGGAATAGGTATATCGAGGGTACACCAAGCTATGGGACATTGGTAGAGATACGTTTAATTTATTAGAGAGTTCAGATTTACTTGAAATTACAAATTCTTTACTTGATGTGCCATAGATAAAAGATGTATTATTCAATGATGAAGTTGATAGAAGTGAAAATTGAAGTTTTAAGTTTTCAAATTTTACTTAGCTCACTTATAGAATGGAATTTTGTTTTGTAATTTCTTCTATTTGATGGCATTAAAACAACTTATAGACTTTGCTTTGGTATTGGTATTGTTGAACTATGATTTCTCTTTTGGTTTTATAATTTTTTCTTTTAGTTTTGATGTTGAACTTTGATTTGCAAATTGAATCTCAAACTATAAATTAAAAAAATAAAAAATTTGTTGACATACTCCAGCTGTGCCTGTATCCTATTTTTTTAGCTCTTGTATTATCGGCATACTCATAACGTACCAGTATCCGTACCTGCACCTGCACCCGCACCCGCACCCGCACCCGCACCCGTGCTTCACGGGGTACATGGAATGCCCCTAGTACGAGAGGACTGAGCTGGACCAACCTATGGTGTACAGGTTGTTATGCCAATAGTAGCACCAAGCAGCTAAGTTGGGATGGAAGAGCTGTTGAGCTGCGGGAAATCCTACGAAATATTTGTCACACGACGTGCCAACTTGATCCTCTTCACCATGGTGCGAATGCCATGCATTAGTTTTACCTTCACATTGACAACAAGTCTATCTTATATGATCAAGGCTAGAAGCTAAAGTCGACTTGAATGATGCTTCACTTTGAAACATGCTCAACTAAGCCTAAAAATAAAATTACCGATTCAACCTTGGAGTGAATATGCCAATACAAAAACATAACCAAGGGGAACTAGACAAAGGACAATTTTCTGCACAAGTTCTAAACTTTCCTCCAATAACCAAATGGAGAACAAAAAAGTGAAGAAAATATTTTTTTCCACTTCCTTTTCCTCTCCTTCCTTGCTATGAATGATACACCATGTTTTTGTCATAAATGCCAAGTTCTGGATTATGTTATTTAGATCAGGAATTGCTAGGAACCAGCATCTATTGTTAACAATGCTGATCAAAGATGCAATGCTCCTGATAGTTCTGTGCCATGTTAATATCCTACAGATGTTTTAATTGCTTTCTCTTGTCGAGTGTTCGAAGAAACTATTCAGAATTTTAATAATTAATTTTTAAAACTTTGTGAATCTCAGTGTGAATATCTATTTTTAAAAATTGAATCCATCTAAATTGAATTTAGTAAAGTATTGTTTATTCTTCTGGTACAGTGTGTTGATCAAGATGACGCCTGTTTGCCCCTTTGTCAAGGCTGCTCCTCCTGATGATGCCTCTTTGAAAAAGGTTGGTGACAACCAAAATAAAATTCAGTCAGGCCAAGAGGGCAAGGCTAAACAAGAGTCTGGGGAATCCACTAGCATTTCTCCGAAGTGCCCCTTTGGATATGATTCTCAAACATTTAAGCTAGGCCCCTTCAGCTGCATGATATGCCAAGCTCTTCTCTTTGAAAGTTGCAAATGTGTGCCTTGTTCCCATGTATACTGCAAGTAAGTAAGCAGATAACGGAAATCAATTTTTATAATTTTTTTCCCTCATAATTCTGTTAGGCACATACTCTTTATTCTCCAGTGTTGCTGATACTGCAAATGGTTTGCTACTTTTCGAAAACCAGAGCATGTATATCACGCTTTAAAGATTGTCCTCTGTGTGGTGCTGATATTGAGAAGATCGAAGCTGACACAAATCTTCAGAATGTAGTTGATCGCTTCATTGAAGGTCATGCGAGGATAAAGAGGTCACAGGTTAATACAGATGAAGAGGAAGCTGTAGGTGAGAGGAAAACAGTGATATATGAGGATGTGTCTCTGGAGAGAGGTGCTTTCTTGGTGCAACAAGCCATGAGGGTAAGCATGTCGAACAATTGGTGATTGTTATGTACTTTCAGTGTACTTTCTTTGTGTGGCTGCACTAGTTTTGCTATTGCTTTCTTCTGTTTGGGCTGTCCAATTAGTAGTTGAATTTCCTCGACTATGTTACTTGATTGTTGGCTTGTTTCATGTAGGCATTTCGGGCCCATAATGTAGAAAGTGCCAAATCAAGACTCAGTCTATGTGCAGAAGACATTCGAGAACAGTTGGAAAGAATGGGGAACACATCAGAGTTGTGCTCACAGCTAGGTGCAGTTCTGGGTATGCTTGGTGACTGCTGGTCTGTCCTATTTCTTATTCCTTCTTCTTAGTAATGTAATATATATATATATATATATATAGGTATGCATTTGATTATTGAAAATTTGTGGTTTTTTTGATTGACATCAAGTGTATGAAAAATTAACTTGATACAGAAATGAAAAATGTACATGCTTTTGATAATATTTTGGTTTTGTCAAATAGAACTCAGCTGTGATAAAATTTGGCATGGTTTATAAAATTTCAGGGGCTACATAATCAGCTATCTTTGAAAGTTGTCAATTTATTTCTATCAAGAAATTTTATCTCTGAATGAGGCTTTTTTAAAACTCTTTGGTTGAATTGGCAAGGCTTAGGTAGTTCTTAAGGTGAAGCTAACTCAGGAAGTGTGTCCAAGAATATCAAAGATGAAATGCTGATGTTGGATGAATGTGAGGACTGTCCTACTAATACTTAGCTCAACTAAGGTGTATTGAAGTGGAAATTTGGCCTTTGGTGGAGGTGGTGGTGGTGTCAAGGAACAGGTGTTGGGTGATGAGGACCCCCTCTCTATAATATCCACCGTTCTTGTGCGTGATATTAGACAATCGGTGAGCCCCTCCAACCTACTTCCTTCTGTCAATTTGGTCTACCATCAACTTGTCAATTTTTTTTGGGGGGTCTAACCGTTACCTCTCAATTAGTGAGTATTGCATAGAGAGGGTTTGATGAAGAGAGTGAAATGGGGTAGAGAGAGGGGAAAAAAAAAAATGAGAAAGGGAGAGAAGGGTGAGAAAGGAAGAGAGGATGGCCACATGTAGAGAGTGAAAAGAAAACGGAGGAGAGAGAAAAGGGATGGAGGGTGTCGTCTAGTGTTGAAGGGCAACTTTGTCCGTATTGTGAAATTTGTGTGAATCCAACCTTTTTATTTGTGGCATTTGGAGCCACCCAAAAAAATTTAATCTTCGAACTTTAGTTGTACATAAGAAGAATATATGTTTGTTGTTGAACAAAATGATATAGCCTAGTGAATCCCACATCTGTTTGATATTAATGGGCCAAACCAAGAAAAAAATTTCATTAGAGAGAGAAAGTCCCAAAATGGGATACAAGAGCTGTCAAGTTCTGAAATATTCAATATCAAAATATCATAAACTAAATAGTAGATGGGCCTAACCACCTATTTATAAGATAAAGACCCAACAAACTCTAACTAACTCTTATGGTGCTAAACATATCAAGCATACTAGTTCTAACTGTATTAGACTTCCTCTCTAAAGAAGATAACTACAACACATTGACTCAAGACAACAAAATCAACAAATGGCTCAAAACAATTGACCTATGGAAGTATGATGCATATGCAATGGCAAACAAGACTAAGTAGTTGCAAGTCCTTATTGAAGATCATTCTAGCAAACGAGTTCTCGTTTATGGACGTCAACCAACTAAAGCCATATTGAGGGGTGAATAGGCCACCCATGTAGCATGCCGTTTTGGAAGCAAGATGTCATCAAAATAACGCTTTTCGCATGGGCCTAAAATAAATGCAACCCTCCTCCATGAAGCCGGGCCGGGTACCAAATCAACACAGAGTGGCATTTCTCAGAAGCAAAGTTCATTCAACACCCATGAAACTTCAATGCCATGACTCTCAACCATAATTTTCTTGGAATCTAGAAAAGGGATAGAAGGTGGGATTGCAACCATTTCTTTCATGGGAAGCAAAGTAAGAGCAAAACTTGCTTCATCTACAAAACTTTCTTTATCTTTAAGGACACCTTCACTCTCTACAAGAAAGTCATCTTCATCATTATTGTAGTCAAAAAATGGAACTCCTTCATATTCACAAACATCAACTTCCTCTTCATATTCACAAACATCAACTTCTTCATTAGCCAACACTTCACTGTTGTCGTCAAAGACGGCAACATCTTGATCATAGTCTTGTTCCACATCTTGATCAAAGATGGGAAATCTTCATCACAAATGGAAAGAGCTTGAACACAATCTTGATTTGTGTCAAGTAGGGGTGTGCTTGACCCTATAACTACTCGAGATGCATAACTTAAGGTGTTTAGGACCCCATGGCTATTCGAGGTGTTATCAAAATATGGAATCTTGCCAAGTTAGGGGCCTTCGCTAGCACATGGTTGGGCATGTGTGTAGTTGTGGAATCAATGGGCTTACGAGGGTGCTATGACTTGCATGAGTCATTTAATTGTTTATTGGGCAAAATTTATTTTACCCCCTTGTGATTTTTCCTTGGAGCACTTTATTTTTAAAAATAACCATGTTCCCCTCATGTGATTTTGGACTAACGTGCAATACTAACACCATTAATGGAAAATGTAAAATGACCTTAATATTTCTTTGTTTTCCTCTTTTGTCTTTTAGCTTCACCTTCTCTCTCTTGTTATACAACTTATTTTAACTTAAGCACATATTAACAAATTAAACTACATATAATCACCTAAATTCTCAAACTTAATTTCTAACTTTTTAACTTCATTTATAATTTAATTTCACACTACATTTTATACATATACACAAATATATATATATATATATATATAACACACCCCATTTTGGGGTGTATACCATATGTCCCAGTTATGATGTTTGTGGTATTTGGTTATGACCTATTGAGGTGTTTGTTACAATTTGTTTATGACTCACTATGGTGTTAGTTATGACTCTTTATGATGTTTATTATGACTTATTGTGATTATTATTTTGGTTATAATCCAAAGGGTCTTTAGTTATACATTATGTGGTGGTTGGTTATGACTCATTATTATTTTTAGTTATGGCTGAAAATGATTTAGTTATGACATTTGTGTTAATCAACACTACAAATGTCATAACTTGCATATGGTACACATGGTGTGTACCCTAGAATGATTGGGCATCGACATACATACATACATTATATATATATATAGCCAGAGAGGAATCAAAGAATTTTTAGGAATATGGTGAAAATTGAAGAATAAAATTCTACAGAAATCACAATGAGAGGAATCAAATGGGGTTTTCTAGAGCAATGGCATTGTGGAATTCCATCCAACTGGAAGTGTTATCCAATGTTACTTGGTCCATCAGTCTTTACCTCTGGATCATCTTGAATTTCCGAAGAAATCATCTTGCTTTGTCCATTGACGAAGCACTCTTTCTATCACATATACCATGCTTTCCTCTTCTTTGTTCTGTTGTTCAAAAGTAGTACTGCAAGAAATATGGCTTCTATGAGATGATACCAGTAGTCACAAATGATGTTGCTTTCTCTGCAAATGATGGTACATGTAGTTTCTACAAGATGATACCGTGAGAAATATTGCAATTCACAATTGTTTCTGCTGTGTGGTTAGCTATTGTAATTTGTGTGTTCATAGGGAGTGGTGGGTGAGGTGAGAACAATGGTGGGATGGAGAAGGAGGGGTGGTGGTAGAGGAGGCAAGTAGCTGCAGGTAGTGGTGGGGAGGTGGCTCGTGGTGGGAGGTGGTGGCTGCTTTTAGAGTATTTTAGGACTACGGTTACTTTTTTTGAAAGAAGATAGTTAGGGTTAGGGTTTCTGGAAAGAAGATGAAGACAAGGGTGTGTTTGTCCTTTCATCGTATTTTGACTTTTAACTAATTTTTTCCCCACCATATCAAGTCTCATTGTAGGCGTGTGTGGTGGCCCAAATTCTGTCAACTTGGATGGAATTAACAGCATAGAGGTAAAATGCAAAATAGACAACCACACGATGGGTAAATGGCTATTTTTAAAAGATAAAGCAGATAAAATGGATTTTTCCCTTATTTAGTCTTTTATGTTCTTTCTACATGGCTACTTCTAGTTGGCCAAATTTTACGGAGATCCGCTCAGTCAAAATACAATGCTAATTTCCCTGGTGCCAGATCAATTCTTTGTATACTCATTCCCACTTTCATGAAATTTCATGTCTTATGACCTCTTATATCTGCGGGATAATGTTTTTCTTGGCATACAAGTTGCAACTACCTTATTGATGTTTTCAAAACATGAAAGATCTTGATTTTTTACGTTATTTTTGAGAAAAGCCTGTTTATTGCAGTCGAGCACTGGGAGATGCTGGCTCTGCTGTTACTTATTTTGAAGAGAGTGCTGACTTCCTTAAGAAAGTTCCAACTGACGATTTGGAGGTAATTGCCTCACCTCCTATAAAATTTATAATGAACATCGACTGCTACATTTCTTTATTTGGAGTCTATTATTCTACGACGTTTATGATGTTGTGTTATAAGTATGACATATAAGCATGCTTTTATATAATTTTCCTGTCCCTAATCTCGTGGAACTTTTGCAGATCATACATACACTTTCTGTTTCACTTAATAAAGTTGGAGATCTTAAATATTATGATGGAGATTTGCAAGCTGCAAGATCTTACTATTTTCAGTCTTTGAATGTTCGTCGTGATGCAATCAAGAATCATCCCAGTTCACCATCTCAGGTCAGTAGCCATCTTTTGGCCAGGGGATACATATTGTTTATATATTGTTCAATAAGTATGAAGATTATTTAGATCCTTTTCTGTAACCACTTAATGACTTTGATATATGTATCATTATACTAAACTAGTATGTAGGCATGCATGATTAAGGGCTTTGATTAATTTGTATTCCCATTCGCATACTTCTTTCTTTCACTGAGTTGTTACTGAGAATCTTTATATCTATACTATACTACTATAGAAAAGTCAGAAGCCTTTTAGATCAATTCAAACTTCTATAAACAAGTACCATTGCACATTACTTAAATATCCATCCTACGTGAATATGGGTACGGGTGTCAAGTGTAGTACGCATCTATCTGTTAGATAGAGTCGAGTGTAGTGAATAGACATATGAATCTCCTTAATTTGACTAACTAAATGGCCGTTGATAGAGTCGAGTGGAGAAGAAGGAATCATGTAGCCGACCCTATTTGATGGGACTTAAGGCTTGATTTAGTTTGGTTTGGTTTGGTTATTATTATCTTTTATTTTCTCGGGTAAAATGGTGTTTACAAGGTGACAGAGCATTTCATGCATAATATTGGAGTTTAGTGCATAATCATATGAAAAGCTTGAACTACAAGATATGCTTGCTGGGTGAATATTTAACTACTCAATACAGAAACATATTTCATATCCTTGCCCAAGTGTGAGTGTTATGTTAGATATAGTTACCCCGCACATTTAGAAGAGTTGACGTATAATAGTTGAAAAGTGTTGGGAATTAATACACCTAACTTGGATCAGTAAGACATGAAACGCAAATAGGAATAAAACAAGAATCTAAAATAAGCACACAAGAACACAAATATTTATATGCTTCATCCCAGAATAGGCTACGTCCATGGTCATAGTTTCACTTTGATTTGGAAAGAGTTACAATACAATATAGGGAGATGTGACACTTCAACTATAAATACATAATTAGGGCAACATGGAAGAACTGTGAAATACCAAAAATACACTTGCATATAGTTGTAACTGCAGTCAGGTGGTTAATGTTCAGTACTGTCCATGCTACCTAACAAAAAGGAAGCTTTCAATCATTCAATGATTATTATTTAGGCTTTGATGTAATTTTATGGCCACTAGTAATGAGGCTTTTAAGAAGTGTAAAATCTTACAGAACAATTGATGGAGAGGTTTGGGGAAGGGAAGGGGAAGGGAAGGTTGAGGAAGGGCTTAACTCCAAGTACAACTCCCCTTCCTGCTCATTTGAATGTTCAATGAATAGGAGTGAAAGTTCTTGGAGGGGTTGTGGAAGCCCTTAAAATTGCGAAACTACCATTGACTGCCAATCTTCATATATATATATATACAATATGAAATATGAATGTATTTGTTCAATAGCATGCCAGATCTAATAGACACAATAGAGACACAATATTAACCCAAAACTTGATTAAAAAATATCCAAGTTACGCCACTTGTGATATTGCTATTTTGTTGTTAGATTATCAGCCATGCTTTTGGTGAAAAATATTTGGGTAGTTTGATAAGCAACTTCGATGTGGTTGAAGTTTATCAGTGAATTCTTAGTTTATTTTTATCAATGACATTTGTATTAATACCACTAAGTGGAAAAATCAACATTGAAATTGGTGCAATAGTGGTTTAGTATCTAGTTGCAAGTGACTAAATGATGATTTCCTAGTGTTTTGTTTCACCCGTTTTTTAAAAGCATTGGAAGATAGAATTATATATGGATAGATAGATAGATACATAGATTTAGGAGTGGATGACATATATAATACTTAAAATGTCCTGTTTTTCTGTGTAAAGCAAAGTCTTTAAAGGCGAAAGCGCAAGGCGTTTTATATAAAATGTAGCATAGAAAAACTATAACAAATAAGGACTAACAAATAAAATTTATAAAAATTATTCTAGGCATAAATACAAAAAAGAAAACAAAAACAGAAGAGAGTAATAGTAGTGCACACTGTATGGCACACAATAGTAGTACACTAGTACTGTTGTACAGAAAGAAAAAAAAAAAGTAGTACCGTGATAAAGAAATAGAAGAAAAAAGAACAGGGATAGAACGATAAAGAGAGAATGAGACAGACGACATTCAGTCAAAGGCCCAAAATTGAGAAAGAGAGACGAGAGATCGAGAGAGAAGAAGAAAAAGAGATCGAGAGTGAGAACCACCCGAAAACCCTAGATTGTTGAAGAAGACAACCATCGTCTCAGTTGAACTCGAAGCAGCAATACTTTGGAGAAGGTCAATCGTCAAGCAGAGATACGTACATCTCTGTCGACTATGCATGAAAAGCGCAGTAAGTGCACCTGATGCGAACACCTCAAACTCGAGGCTTGCGCTTCATTGGTGCTGTGCCTGAAAAACAAAGCACTGGTGCATTTTTGTCTTGCCTCGCCCCAATGCGCTCCTCAGGTACGCCTTTAAAAACACTGAACATGAAAATTATCATGGGAATAGCTTTCCTTTCGTTTTATGCTAACTGTAGCCCATTTTCTGATTTCTTCGCATATTTTTTCTAAAGAAACCAAGAGAAATGAGATCTTATAAATTTTCTCTATGGCTCAGTATGCCTTCCTTGTGGTTTTTCCCAGGTTATCCATAGAAACACCATGTAATGTCATGAGTACTGATCAATAACTTTACAAATGCAAATTTATTTATTTATTTTTATTTTTTTCTGTTACAGAAAAAACTTCTAGATTGACACTTTTATTTCATCTAATAGTGTCCTGTTACTTGTGATTCCAGATTCTTGATATGGCTGTTTCTCTTGCCAAAGTTGCTGATGTGGATCGGAATATTGGAAATGAGGATGTGGCAATTGATGGATTTCAAGAAGCCATTAAATTGTTGGATTCTTTGATATTAAAAGCTGAAGAAGTTGGTCTTGAACAACGGGTAAGATTTTTGAATGGTTGCCCTCATTTTTATGACTATTGTTGACCTTGAGAAAGTGTTTTGACACATTGTTTTGGCATGCAGCGCCTTTCTGTGTTGGAATTCCTCAAGAACCAACTTGCTGAGAAACAACCTGATTCAACTCCCCGAGATCATGTTTCTTCCTAGATAAATAAAAGTTCCAAGTAAAAATAACAGTCTTCCTGTACCTATTGGAGCACATTCATGTATTAGGCTCAAGTTTACTGAAGGCGATTTTCCCACAACGAAGTAACACTTGTATATGGATAAAGAATAAGTGTTGGCGCTAATTTTTATTCATGTTCCGTCACATATGACCATCTTGGTGCTGCCATATGTACCTATGCATTACCTTCATGAGACACGAAGCAAGTGGTGGGAACACGAATGGTTTCATGTTCCTGGATGTGTGGTGTTGTTTACTTCAGCGGAGGTACTACTACTGGCTACTGCATCTTTAAGACTGTAAATTCTTCCTTGTGCTTCTTATCGATAAATTCATGGATCCATCTTTTGATGTTGTCTTTTAGTCAAAACGATATATAATGGAGATTGTAAATATGTTGCATGGAAAATTACACTTTTAAACCACAGGTACAATGTTTGCTGATAGATTTCAGTAAATGGGGGAGTTAAGTTCATGCTGCAGCCATGTGGAATCTGGTGGTCTTCCTAGTTGTTTTAGAGAAGCCATCTTTTTCAGCAAAGATCTTTACAGATTTCAATTAATGTTTAGACTTAAGTGAATAACTCTTCTGGGTTTTGAATGAACTTAGGTGCATATATGTTGCAGTCATCGGTACTTGGTGGTGATTGGGCAATTTTGTTGGGAAATAACTTTATAGGATCTTGTTAGGTTAAGCTTGGGTACATTGCACTTTGTAGCCTTGCCCTTCATGCTTAATCTCACGTTGCTTTCCTCTCTCTCTCTCTCTCTCTCTCATCCGTTACCGTTACAAAATTTTGATGGAAAATAATCATTGTGCGACACGTGGCCTAAGTTTGACATTGTTGACAATTTTGGTCAATTTCTTTAACAGATCTGGAGGGAGGTACAAAGAGACTAGTGTAAGAATTTACCTGTCACAATTGAAAGGCAACAAAGCAAAGTAGAATTGTTATATAGTGTGAGGGTGCAAAGTGTAATTTAAATTTTGGAAGTCAGACAATAGGGAGTTTCAAAATTTATCCCCCAAAAAAATGTTGGGCACCCTAGCTTTTATTTTCCGTTTTTAATATTATACTTATTTTAATATCATTTTCTCTAGTTAAACTACCGAAAGTGATAAAATCTAGCTCTGGCCAAGCCCTCTTGTCACACTTGAGCCCTTCACCTTTTAGTACCGCCCTGGCCCAGGCTCTACCTCCTAAGAAGCTTTAGAATTAGCAGCATATAAAAAATGTCGTAATAGATCAGAAAAATGTTGTTAAAAGGTAAGGTGGTGTTAGAGCATTATGTTGCAGATACCGTGTTTGTCGTTTAAAAAATGCCATTATAGACTTGATATTTTGTTCTTACTAGCAATTAACAGAAGTTTGTTATAATTAAAAGGTGACATCATGATGATTATATTTTGAGTAGTGATGCATAGTTCTAAAATAGGAGTTTTAATGAGCGTTCTGATGATAGAGCTGCATCAAAACTCTCAAATTTGAGCTTCTAAACATTATTGTTATATTTTGTGGTGTTTTTTTTTTTTTTTTTTTTTTTTTTTTTTTTTTTTTTTTTTTTTTAAAAAAAAAAAAAAAAAAAAAAAAAAAATCATAATCAAAACAAACCCATTAAATATATACTATAATCATTCTGAAATTTTAAAATATAAGCCATAATTAGTCTCCATTTTTAGTTTTTAGAATAAAAATTTATCATAAGAAATCAAGTATTCATTATATAGTCATATTCAATGTCACTTATCATTTTCTTACAGCAGAAAGTGTAAATCCATTAACATACAATAATCCATTACATAAGCTTAATACCAACAAAAATAAAAAAAAAAATTGCCTAATATTTCATCATTTTAGATCCTTTTGAGACCATTGGAAACTTAACGAGTAATTATTTGGTAGTCTGGGAGTTCGGGACTATGGTCACGTGGCTTCATAATAATATAATTGGTAGAGAAGATGGGGTATTAACTATTTGTGTTGGATAATTGAAAAATATGAAAAAACATAATGAATAATAATTAGTGAGACAGTATGATCATATGGTATTTCGGAACTATTCTATAATTTTGTGAGACTTATATGAACCATTGGAGTGCCTACTAGCAGCCAAAACTTGGTTATAATTTCTAATCTTTACTCACAATTTTATTGCATTGGTCCAACTCATCCACAAGTAATTAAAAGTAAATAGAGTTAAAATATAAAACAAAAAAAAAAAAAAATAATTGAATAAGTAGACGACATACGTAAAAGGACCTCAAAGATGTAAAATAACAATAATAATTTCCAAATTGCAAAATGAATCCTCATATAACCCTTCTGATCCATAAATTTGGGAAAAAAATATAAGATTACTATAATCTAAGCAAACACAAAAGAAAAGATAAATAAAAAAAACAAAACAACTATTATGCATTTCAAATACCAGTATCAATTCCACGTGTACAGAAGTTAGTCCAAATGTTTAGGCAATGCAAAATCTTCTGCCATATAAGTAAGAAAATACAGATCATTGAGTTCAATCCGAATAGACATATTCGATACTTGATTAATTTTATTTTTCTTACAAAGTCAAGATCTAAACGGTGGTTGTTGCCTTTACTCATTTTAATTAACACTCTGTTGTTTTGCATTAAAATAATTTACATCGTAAAATATTTTTCATGTAAAATGATTTTGTTAAAAAACAAATTCTTGTTTTTGTTTTTTGGTGTTTGGAACTTAAAATATTTTCTACAACAAAAATTTTAATAAATCTTAATAAAGAACCAATTATAGAGTAATTTTTAAAAATAAAAAGAATAAAACAAAATGATATTCGTACATAATTTTCATGTAAAATTGAACGTGCTTTTATTTTTTATTTTTAAATTCTCAAGTGAGATATAAATTCATTTCACTTTACAATTATTTTGTTTCTTTCGATCAGTAAGAATGTGACACATCATTACATATAATTTTTTGGTATACAATTTTTTTTTATCATTATTAAATAATAAAATAAGATAAGGATTGAATATAACAAAATAATAATTTCTAAACCTAATTCTGATAAATTGCTCAATCACAATATATATATATAGAGAGAGAGAGAGAGAGAGAAATAAAAAAACGTTCAATGTATATGTAAGTAGTACAACTTGATATGGACTTTGAATAATATTAAAAACTATGACGAGAAACAAAAAAATTAATAACTTCAAAAATTTTAAAATGTAAATCATTTTTCGTTTTATAATGAAAATGTTTTACTTACTTTTTTGGCCAACCAAACAATATAAAATAGAGCCTAAGTGTAGAATATTGTAAAACATTTCATATTCAATCCAAGCAAAATTTGAAAAATTTACCAATAAATCCCGTCTTGAGGAATGTTGATCCATTTAGTTCTAAGGATTTTTTTATAAACCAATTAGTTCTATTGATTTTGAAAAACTAGATTTAATATAATATTTGAAAATTAGATTTACAGTTATACTCTTATTTCTATTATTTATTTTTATTTTTATTTTTATTTTTTTGCACTAGAAAGTGTACACAATCTATGGAAATCAAATTTGGGATAAATTTTTATATGAGAATCTTTTTTATTTAGAAAACATTTTAAAAAGAGTACAAAAATGACTTAAAATATAGAATTCTTCAAACATTCCAAAAGGATGTGAGATTCTTTAAACATTTCAAAAGAAGTACAAAAATTCATTAGCAAGTTTTGGACAAATGTACAATTTCAAACTGTAGTACTCAAACGTAACACTCTAAAAAAAATTCTTATTGTATTTTTTTCAAACGTAACACTTCAACATAATATTCCAAAAAAACTCCTTAGTGTAATACTCTAATGTAACACAGAAAAAAAAAACTTCTTAATATACTTTTTACAAACATAACACTCAAACATAAATGATGTGGGATTCTTTAAACTATTCCAAAAGGATGTTGAATTCCTCAAACCATTCCAAAAGGAGTATAAAAATTCTTCAGTAAGTTTTGGATAAATATACAATTTCAAACTGTAAGTGTTACGTTTGGAAAAAATATATCAATGAATTTTTTAGTGTTTTTGTATATGTTACATTGGAGTGTTACATTTGGGATTATATTGATTGAAGTGTTACGTTTAGAAAAAGTACACTAAAAGTTTTTGTGTGTGTGTGTGTGTGTTTGTTACATTGGAATATTACATTTTGGAAAAATACCCTAAGAAATTTTTTTTAGTGTTACGTTATTATATTTGAGAAAAATGCGCTAATGAATTTTTTAGTGTATTACATTAGAGTATTACGTTTTGTTCGTAATGTGAGATTTGTTCTAGAAGTTAGGAAAATTCAAAACTTTTATAGTGTGGATTGTCCAAATGTGTAATTTTACATTTGGAGAAACTCATTTTTATCCTTAAAAAATTAAACTCAAACATGTAAGTAATTACCTTTTTGTGTAATTTTCACTTTAATGGGACATTTGGGTTCATAAAAATAAAATAAAAATAAAAATAAAATTTAAATAATTCACAAAATCACATTTTAAGATTTATTAGTGTTTCACCTGCAAACTAAAACATAAATTAAGAGAATCTTTGCTAGTGTTCGAGAAATAAGTTTCCAAAGGTAGCATTCAAAAAAGGAAGCATTGTTTTTTCATACACTTCCAAAACCATAATTCTTAATAGCACAACCCTTCATAGAAGAATGAGTTGCATAAACAACCCTAAACAAAATAGATTGATATTAATTTCTCAGACGGACAATTTTATGTAAAGAATATTTCTATCTTAATTGATATTGAATGAAAGAAAACATTTCTCCAACTCATGCAGAATATCAAAATCATTGTTAAAAAAATATATTCAAAGAAATGTAAGTATTTATCATCTGGTGTATCATGTCAGGATAAATCATTCTAGAATTCATATAACAATTTTCTTGGGATTCTATCTCCATTCTACTTTTTTGTAACTCTCGAATTTGTTTTCTCCTTTCGGACTATCGAATCAGTATCCATAGTCAGAGGATTCTAACCACCAGGCCTTGATAACAAAAAAAAGTCACGCTCTGAATTTACAATATCTCACCTCATAAGAAGAGGACATAACTAGGATGATGGAATCAAAGTACATAAGAGAGAATCCAAAAGGGAATGGTTTACTCAAGATGTGATATAACTATAAAGGAATTATAAATCCACAACTCAAGGGTGGGTGGCATTATGGTTAAGGCTTGGGATTTAAGTACCAAGGTCACATGTTCAATTCCCCTATTTCTTGGGCAAAGTATTGTTGATTAGGAGGTTAGACCTCAAGTTGTCTAATCAACACTTGGTGTGGGTTGGGTTCAATGCTCCCCCGCTCTGGGAGGCCGGGACAGACGACTTAAGCGGAGCTTGTCTTGGGTGATCTCTGCACTCAATACATGAGATTACAATATTTATATACATCATATATTCATCTACTACATGGCATGAATATATAGTATGAGATTTTAT